CATATGACATTCCAGACCTGAGGCTTCTATCCTCTTCTGTTTATAGGAGATAGGGTCCTTCTGTGGCCATCATTGTCACTGACTGCGTGATTTAGACACTTCCTGTCCATTGGGCTGTCCAGTGGCAGGGTCTTCTCAGGATCCAGGAGAGGAAGCCACAACAGTGATGTCAGCGCAAGAGGATTGTCAGGGACCAGCTGTCTGGAGCACATCTGCAGCACCAGCAAGAGACCCTGATGGTGGACATTGGTGAGTATGGGCTCATGCTAGGGATGTTCAGATACCAAGTACCATACTCGGTACAAGTACAAGTACAGATACTTTTCCAGCTCCGAGACTATACTAGAGAAAAACTCAAAAGTTAGGAGGCAGCTGTCATTTTTAGGAAGCATACAGAGCTCCTGGGATTTGTACATCTCTGTTTTAATGTATGCTTTAGTTTTTATAAATATATATAAGGGATGCACCGATACCATTTTTGCAAGTACAAGTAATGATACATTTTTGTTTATTGTCATGTGACAGTTTTTCTAAAACAATACAGACTAATGATTTCAGGACAGTGGTGGAGCACCTTAGCCCGGTCCCAGCTACAACCACTGCCACAGTGGTAGTTCTCGTGAAAATGCCAAGTATCGTCATTGGTATCTGAACATCCCTAGCTCATGCACATGGCAGTAAAAAAAACTCAGAGGAGGGAATTCATCAAAACTGGAGCAGACAAAATCTGGAGCAGCTTCGGCTGTCACTTCGGCTCAGTCAAGCGGAAGCATATGTCTTCGGCACGGCTGAGCCGCTCGGCCACCTTCGGCTGTTGTACAGGCTATAGTGAATAGCCCGTACAGCAGCCCTTCAGTTCGACTGAACCAAAGGGCTCCAGAGGCCGAAGAGAGCTGAAGGATCAGCTGAAGCTACAGCTGGATCCTTCGGCTCCTTCGTGAATAATCCCTTTAGTTTCCTGCAGAATCAGCTGGTCTTCTGAGCACTGGTCCTGAGATTCTGTTTTAGGGTGGCTCATTTCCCTTACAGGGTCCTATGGAGCCACCCTTGTGTGAGCTAGTAAGTCGTGTGTCTCCACAAACACAAAGGTACAGCAAGGCAATCATTTCCACCACCTCCTGCTCCCGTCTGTTCCTTTCTCCCTTCTCTCTACTCCAAGCTAGTAGATGGAAAGCTGCAGGAGATTGTACATTCGCTTGTGATCTTGTACTGGACAGGAAGTCTAGGGTAGCGAAGCTGAGAGAGTTGGAGCTGTTTTGAAACATGATGACTGTAAGTGCTTGGGGAAAAAATGTAAAGAAATACTTTGCAGGGCAATGTATATTTGTTTGATGTAGATTCATTATTGAAAAATGTGAGAGTTGAATACTTTTTATTGGAATGGTATGGAAGTAGAAATGCACGCACTTTACTGACCATTTCATGTTTTGTGTTGTTTTATTCAGGATCATTCCACCAGCCTCTGCCAGCAATTTCTTGCATGAATGATCATTAACTTCATTACGGGCATGTCGTCTATATTTTGCTCCACAAAGTAAGAAAAATAGAAACAAATAGTGCAGGGTGTGGTAAGCTGGCCATACACTTTATGAACTTCTCAATTCCCCCGTCCATGTTAAACACTGGGACAGAGGAATCCTTGCTGCTGGCTTTTGTATTCAGCAGCTCCTGAATACCCGATTAGCGATGGCATCTGATTGGCTGCAGTCACTTTTCGGCTGAGAATTTTCAGACCAGCTCCTTCAACACAAGTTGATTGAAAAATCGACTTTTGTTGGATGGCATGGTGCCGACAAAGCCACCCACGGATCCAATTTTGGTTGATTCTTCAGGAAAGTTCAAGCAGTGTATGATCAGCATTTGAGAGGGGGGTTAATATTTAACCGTAGATGAGCTTTTACATGTTAATGCTAATGGGAGATTTTAGTGGTTGGGTTTACATATACTTGAATGCACTCCTATATTTAAAGAAGAAGTCCGGGGGAAAGAAATCTTAGTGAGGCTATCCCCGCACTGAAAGGTTTAAGTGGTCGTCTGTGTCTAGGTTAAAAAATAAAGTTATAGTCACCCAAACTTCAGATGCGACAGTTGTGACAGCTCGCCCTCCAACCTGAATCCTCCTCCTCTGCACGGATGGTATGTCCCTCGACATCCTCACGTCTCATACACTGTATATAGAATGTGATCACTCTGGACCTTAGACTGCTGCAGTGGAGGGGGAGCAAGGCAGAAGCAGGGGCGTCCCGAGGCCGGGAGTCACCCGGAGCGGATATCGGGTGACACCCCACTGTAACGTCATTACGCATGTGCGTGACGTCACCATTTGTGTGCGTGATGATGTCATTGCGCATGCACGGTCATCTTGAGAGAGGAGGGACATTCAAGCGGTGGGATAAGGTATGCCGCCAGGTCCCCTTCTCTCCTGAAACTGTCAGGCTCTCGATCTATGACCGAGTGCCCGACTTTTCGGAGAGGGTAACACCCTCCAATGGTGTCATCCGGGTGCAGGTCGCACCGCCTTGTGACGTCACTGGGCAGAAGGGATCCGTCTAACAGCAAGCTGGCTCCGAGATTCAGGTGAGCACAACTTTTTTTTCACCTAGACACAAACAAGCACTTCCCCACTGCAAGGGTTAAGATTTTTTTCCCCAGAGTTCTGCTTTAATATCCATATAATTTAGTATGTGGGTGATTCTGGACTGTTGCGCTACCCCAGAAGAGTTGCTCCTTACTATCTGATAACTATAGGCTCAATTTACAAATATTAACACAGAAAAGGATTCTTCAGCCATATGACAGTAATTTTCACATCTCATTGAACTCAGCGGAAAATAACTGTCACTTTAATAAATAAGGATCCCTATCCTGGTGTGTGATTGTTGCGAATTGAGCCTATAAATGTATAATACATAGGAACAGGTTCCTTCGATTCTATTTACAAATAGGTTGCTACACCTTGTCTAAGCTTTACTTCTGAAGCAAAGGCTCCTTGAACTGTCTGTCAGTATCTTTGTTAAGATGGGTGTACACATTTCGTTAAAAAAAAAAAAAAATTGGGGGGATGTTCTTTAGATTTCCTAATAGTTTATGGGGTCGTTTATGACCATGGTGACCAAACAAAAAAAAACAAAGGAGCAGGATGGAACTTTTCTCGGGAACGAATGTAACTCTTACAGCGAATGTGGTTTTCGTTCAGGAAACTGCATTCATTCCAAAATCGAATGTTAAAATCAAATGAAAATTTAACCCCTTCGTGACTGACGACGTACAGTGTACGTCGCCAGCATCGGGGCTGTTTAAACAGACTCCCGGCGACTTTTGCCACCGGGAGTCTGTTTAAACTTGTAGAGCCGACTGTCGGCTTTACAACAGAAGCGATCCTGGCGACTTACCTGTCGCCAGATCGCTTCTGCGTCCCGAAGAAGG